AATTTAGTCTTTAATATTGCCTTTAATAAATAAAGTATACTTAGCTAATTTATAGAAGAAAGATATTTATTAGTTAGAAGTACTTATATAGAGGTAATACTACTAGCTTTTAATTCTAATGTTTTATTTGCTAGAACTATATATATAGTATAAAGTAATTTAATCTCTTTATATAAGTAAGAACTAATTTCTATTTATATTATAATAGAAAACTAAACTAGTTCTAGTAAATACTAGTATTACTTATACTGCTACTTATAAAGAAGTCTTAATGCTATAATTTAATCTTATAAAAAATAGCTATATTCTAAGGCATTAAACTATAAATAAATACTACTTAAGTATGCTTAGTATAGTTATAGTAAAGTAACTATAGTAAAACTAAATAATATAGCATAAGTATATATTAATATATATATATATATTTAAATACTATATTTCTTAAGTTTCTTATATCTATTTAGGCACTATAGGAAATTTAGCTTAAGTACTTAAAAGTTAGTATAATGCTATATATTGCCTTCTCTTTAGCGTTAAACTTCACTAATCTCTAGTAAGAAAGCTATATCTTTAGTATATATAAGCTTACTAGTTGCTAATTATATTACTAAAGAATCTTATTAATAAAGCAGTAAATTAATTTAATTAGTATTTCTTATATAAATAGTTCTAAAATCTCTTTATATAAAGGCTCTAAGCTTTTTATATATACTCTAGAAATACTTAAAAGCTTCTAAGCTAAAAGCTAGCATTATAATATTTAAAGACTAATAGTATCTTTATTTTATTTATTAAGAAGCTTATTAACTTAAGATAAAATATCTCTATAAAACATACTATACTAAAGAGATTATTAAATAGTCTCTCTAAGACTTTTAAGCTATCTATATAGTCTTAGTATATTAAAGTAGGAAATAATTTAGAATTAATTTAGAATTAATTTTAAAATAATTTAGAAATAATTTAGAAATAATTTAGAAATAATATAGAACTAGTTTTAATATAAATCTAGAATAATTATAGTATAAAGTTTAATTTATATATTAAGGTAGGAGGAATTTTTTCTATGTAACTCTATACTTTTAAAAAATCTAAAAATCGGAAAATCAGAAAATCGTAGTGGCAGCGTTTGCGGATGCAAGCTAATGTGCGACCGTACAGCTCCCTCGTCGCCCACCTCGAGCAGACACGACAGCCTGCCAACTTGCGTCACTACCAAGCTTCATTTGCCCGCCGACGCAAGCATTGCGGCAACGACACGAGACCGCCGACGGCTCTGAACACTTGCCGCCTACCACTACCGAGCTATGCTTCTACAGTAAACCTCTGCCATCCTCGTTCATCCTCGCCGTCGCTTTCCTGACCTGCTGAGGCTGTCGTCACCCCATCGAACCGGATAGTCCGGCGCAATGGACTACAGTGCCTCAATAAACGAATCCGAGGACCCTGCTGCTTCTCCTTGGGTCAGCAGCCCAATATCGTCGCCGCAACACTCTCGCACTGGCTTCGCACCGATTCCTGGCGACAATGGGAGCTCCCCGTTTCCATACAGCCCGCAACCTGGAGGCCTGGAAGCATCTGGCGAGACTGATGGATTTCAGCGGCCGGCTACTGCAACCACGGATTTAGGCGCCGAGGGCGGGCAGATTGACCAGTCTGCAATCTCGGCATCCTCTGTAGCCGAACCTGCAAGTGAATCACATTCGCCTGCGTCCCAAGCGCCTCAACAAGTTGGCGTATCCCAGCCACGAGCACAGCAGCAGCCCCTAGCTCAGCGGAGGCCACAATTCAAGCTCCAGGCCAAGATTACAGGTCTTGAACGAACCGGCAAGAAGGATCCCGTGCTCCGGTTTGATGTTCATGTAGGTATCTGCAAAGGCTGCTTGGCCTCGTGTCGCGTGCCCTCTGCTGACCTCGGTTAGACGAACCTTCCAGCCTTTCGAACTACGCAATATCGAGATGTTAGACGTCTGCACTCGGAGTTTGCCAAGCTCGGCGATCATCTCATCTCAGCCAATCCCGAGGCTCTCGTGCCTGCCGTCCCGCCTCCTGTAACATCGGCAGGTGCGGGAACGGACGAAGACGAAAACCGAGTAAAGGCCATGATGCAGCGATGGTTCAATTATGTCTGCAGCAACGAGACGCTCATGCGAGACGATGAGATGGTGCTCTTTGTCGAGAGTGACTTTGGCTACAGCCCGCTGGTCAAGATGAAGCAGCCCGCGACTGGAGTCCGCAGAAAGATCTTGAAGCAGTTTGCCCCTCCGCCCGACGATACAGCCGAGTTGGCAGACGCTCGCCCGACCGTGAAGTTGTTCTACCTTGGGACGATGGATGCCGGCCACAAGGTCGATAAAATGGTCAAAGCTAGAAGAGGTGCGTGCCATTTTCCCATTCCAACAGCGCCACATCAGCCGCTAACAAGTGCAGGCCTCGGACTCGCTGAATCCGACTACGGCATCAAGCTCAGCAGCATGCACGTCCAAGAGCCACATCCCGGCCTTGCAAACGCCTACAAGAAACTCGGCCGCGTTATCCAGACCATGGGCGATTACCACGCCGCCCAGGCCACCGCGCAAGCCGCCACCGTTGGCGACCCGTTCCAGTACCATTCAAAAGATGCCTTCATCGTCAAAGAGTCCCTCACCAACCGCCAGATCTTGATCCGAGAATTCCTCCAATCGCAAGAAGCCACCAGGAGCAAACTCAACGCCGCGGATCGCCTGAAAGCTAGTTCTAGCGTGCGCCGTGAAAAGGTTGACGAGGCCATCGCCGCCCTCGACGACGCTCGCCAATATGAGGCCAGTCTGTACAACAAAACCAACCGCGTGACGCATAATCTCGTCCACGAACGAAGAAGGTGGTTCACCAGGACGGCTGCCGATCTCCGAGCCAGCATACGTGACTATGTTCTTCGTGAAATCGACGCCGAGAGACGAACCCTAGCGCTCTTGGAGACCGTCCGGCCGGATATTCGATGTATTGACGCTTCAGGCGGCTTGAGTCGACTTGGTCGAGAATCGCACCCCACCGTGCGACGATCCAGCCTGGCTTCAAGCCAGGGCCCCAAAGGGGACGCGTGGAGCGGCGTCCCCCGTCGGTCGGACGCCACGCGCAGCACATCGAGCAGCTTCATGGGCAAGGTAGTAGAGGAGGCGGAGGGCAAGGATGACGATGCGAGAGAAGGGCAGAGAGTGTCGGGGCTGGGGGGCGTGAATGAGGAAGATGACGATGATCGAATTGATGCGAGGAATGCGGCGAGCAGGTTGGCTACCAGCACGTTTTAATTCTGCAGCTCCGTGGCTTCTTAACATGACATTCAGGCAGAAGAGTCTCTCTACAATCAAAAATGAAAGCGAAATACCATCGGTATCGTGCGATTGATTCATGTGTGCATCGTATGACTGTCGTAACTATATACAGCTATGTCGGTGACAGTTGCTGCCACGCGAGACGACCGACGCAGACTAAATAATCCACGCCGGAACTTGTAGCGCGTGCTACACCTTGGACGCCACAACGCCCCGCGGTGAGCCCATCGTCCGTCTTATATTAACAGGTCACCCGCTCCGGGCATGTTAAATCCCGGCGAGGCCAGATAACCCTCCGTCATGCCCCTTCGCCCCGCCGTCTTGGCCGACTCTATAATGTGGAATTTTTTGTTCACGTCTCTAACTCCGTGCACGCCTTGCATGATGCTGCTTAGGAGATCGATGAGCTTGGCGTTATTCGTTTCTTGGAGCATTTCCCTGTCAAAAGCTTCGTTGTTTGAGGGAATGACAAGATCAAATCGGTTGACGAGGGCTTGTATTTGTCGAAGAATAGGTAGTGACGGGGTGGTGTAGTCTGATTCCAATGTGTCGGTGCATGTCGGCAGGCCAGTGACGGGGCACGAGGGCAGGCGCTCCAGGTAGGTGGTGAGGAGGCGGACGCGCGAATGGAGCATCTTGATGGCGTTTGCTTTGGCCGTCAGCGAAGCGACCATTTCTTCCTCTTCCCTCGTGAGATGCGAAATTCCGGTCTCGTCTAGGGTGTCGGTTTCATAGCCCTCTGGCTCGACCAGTCGTCGTTTGCCCTTGCTCGTTGCCTCGATGCACCATCCTTGTTTGTCGTCCTTGGCAGCAGCAGACGTTGGAGCAGATGCAGCTGTGGCGTTGGCCCCGCCGGCGGCTACGTAGTTCATGCTGATCATTTCGGTCTCGTCGGTCTCGACGGAGTACGGCACTTCAGTGAACTTGAGCTTCAGCGTCGCGTCGCCGTCTTCCATCTTCTTGTCCGCACCATCCTGGTCGGCAGTCTTCTGGTCGTCGACTTCATAGTTGCTTTCGTAGATGGTGAGGGGAAGCTTGCCGCCGACAGAGTGGTTCAGGACCTCCTCCGGGTGGAAGCCTAGAAGCACGGCGGACTCGTTCCATCCTTGGAGGATCTGGCTCTGGATTGGGAGGATCACGGGCGTGGGGCCGGTGAGCGGCAGGAGGGTGTACCAGCCTACCAAATCTAGTTGTCGCTCTTTGTGTACAGTGATCACTTGAAAAAAAAAAACCGTCAGCAACGGAGTGTTTCGAGGGTGGAAGTTTTGTACTTTGCTCTAATCTGGCGCCAAACTTGGAGGCGTCTAGCAAATAGCCGCCTTGGACGTCGGGCGCTTCTCGCATGTGACAATCGAAGGCATGTTCGATTGTGATTTCACGGCCGTTTTGCTGGCCAAGCAGGGCACCGACGACAGGGCCCTTTTGCTGTCGGAGAGTGTGTCGTGTGATGTAATCGGAAATGGTGAGCAGGACGAGTGGATGGAGAACGGCCTGCACCTGGGAGCTTTTGTGGCTGGAAAGGAGCGGGTTGGAGCTCCTTGCCTCCATGTTGAGGGTGCTCGAGAAACCAGGCCGGAGTTGGCAAGGAATTGAGGCGCAACGGAGGCGTGTTCGGGACGAGCTGCCTAAGGAGAAGATGGAAGATGGAGGATGTCAACTGATGAGGTTTGACTTTCAATGTTCAAGGTCAGTGGGGTCACGTCGATGCAGCTGCCACCCAAACTTCCAGAGTGCAGGGTTGATGACTAATGCCAACTGGTTTCCAACGTCGAACCGCAGGCTCGTAGGCGGAAACTCGTGTCTCCCTTTCGGCGAAGCCAATCTTGGGTTTTCTCTCGGCGAGACTTGGAATTCTATCGACTTATACCTCTCGGCTTGACCGATTTTGTGTTCAAGGATACTGTTGTTCTCGCTTTCGCTCTGCGAGACGCTTATTTGGTTGTGGTCCCGTCTGCCTGATGTCACACCAAAGCACGGGCGTGGCCACGCCACGTTAGTTGGTGTACTTAATGCCCCCTATATACTGCGACACTTGAGCAGCCTGTGGTGGAGGCAAAGTTTTGTGACACCAGCCTTGGGGTACTGGGCGGCTTGCTTTGGCCTTGCCGACAGAGCGCCTTCGAGAGTAGTGAGTCGAGACCCTGTCAATTCGATGACTGGCCTGGCAAGTTTACTGGCAGTCTTATGTCTCTCAATTGTATCCCATGACAAATCTATATGTTCTCTGCATCATCGATTTAGATGGCATCTTTTAACATTTGCCATGAGAATTAGGGACACAAGAGAGATTGAAGTGCGGCTTCAGGATATCCGAGCCAGGAAAAGCTGAATCCTCTTTGTAATGGTGAAGCTACTTAACCGCCCAGCAGCAACTCGCCATAGTGTTGGCTTCCGGTGGATACGTGCAGGACTGTAGCTTTGATGGAGATTCGCCTCATGTCGTATGTGGTCGATATGTTCTAAGCTTGACAAACTTGGATACATTCTTAGTGGGAAAGTCGACCGACCATGTCTCGCCAACTGAAGCATGACATTCAAAACGCCAAACAGAGATACGCCGAGCTAACGAAAAACCCGGGCACAACCTAATCGAAACATGATATAACACAACCTTGAACTACGTCGAGGGGCTGCGAGTCTTGACCGCCGGTGGCGCAAGCCGTTGCGCTCGTGGATACAGGGACATCGGACCACAGGGGGGGTCGTCGTATGGCACGCCTCTTGAACAATCTCTTGCCTCCTACCAAGCAGGAAGTATTGAATTAAGTGAGGGAAAATTTCGAAAGGCTCGACGATATTTCAACAACACAGTGGAACTGGTGCGCATGAGGCCCGGTCGAGTCTTGCTTAGGCGACCCGAGACACAGAACGATGGCGGACGACCAGACGTTGATCGAAAAATTCTTGCAATCACGAGATCCAAGACCCGATGGAGCTTAGGTCATATGTCAACCATTCAACCGGTGTGAAGGCGGAAGGCTTGTGTGTCGAGTCTTCGTTGCGCATTAGCTGTGTTGCGGGTGACGTTTGCAGGGAGGCAAGAGACGAAGTGCCAGAGGAATTATGGGCATCATTGGTTGATCGTTCTGTGGTATCTTCGGTCGAAATTTGTGACGTATGGCTCAAAGTTACTTCTTGATGCCGGTCATGCTCTGAGAACTGAAGAGCAGTGGGTGAGCGAGAGCGACGGGAACCGGTGGCGGTCTTACTCGAAGTGGCTGTATCAACAGTGTTCGCGGTCGATGTTGAACGCCTTGATGAGGGGCAGACGGTCAAGGAGACGAACTGGCCCGGGCAACGAACATGATGGGCGAGTCCCGTTGTTCCTTGAGTGGTGGATGACTGTCCGAACTCATCACGCAGGACAGAGAGCTCTGCGGGATGAAACGACCCTGCGGCTTCTCGTTAGCTTCATTCACCGTGATTGAGCGGAAATTGCACCAACCGTTGCATGACATAAGACTTCGGAAAGAAATAAGCTCAATAGTATCCATAGGACGTTGGGCACGGCTCACATTACCTTCCATGATTTGGCCTTGGGGAATGCTAGTCACAGAGGATGCTATATGAGGTACACAGAAGGCAATCCTTGGAAAGAGTATGTAGGTGGAGTTGGGCGAGGTATGGCTGCGAACCGGTGTTGGACTCAACGGTCCATCGGAAGGCATGACAAACGTCGACTTATGTATTCGATGTGCTAACCCAATGGTCCAGTCGTCATCCAGATGGAGAGGCTGAGTCTGTCGATGGCTCCTAGTCGAACACGATCTTGCAACTGGCCCAACAATGGCACGACACAATTGTTAGCACGCGGCTCTACATCGATCTACACGTGGAACCTGTCCGCAGGTGCGTCTTCCACCGGTTCCGGTTTGAATCCTCGTCAACTGAGCCTGCTGCGAAATGGCATGTGAACTCGACAAGAGTGGATTGCCAACTCATCAAACCAGGTCAAGTGCCAGGGCTGTCAAGGCTGTAAAGACTCAAGCAGATGGCGCAGCAAGTTGGGGAGCAAAGTCCTAGCGGACAAACGGCATGTGGGCCGTCCTGAGCACCCTCGCAGCATGACGAAGCCAAGATGAAATATCATGGGGCTGGCATAACACGTATACTTTGCCTACAAGGCAAGTCTAGGTGTACTGCCCATGACGTGGCATGTCCATAGTCGTCCTGCGGCGAGGCGAGGTCGCACGGGTTAGGCTACATGATTCATCTCTCCTCCGGTCACAAGCGTGCCTGTGATTTGTTGAGTGCAAGCAAGCCTGCAAAAGTCAATCAACCACGATGGCACTTGATGCTCTACTCCGTCCGTACTGAAGTACATGTTGTACTTCCCACCACGGCGACTCTTCCAGCTGTGTTTGATCAATGCGCGCGCGGCGCTTGCGCAGGACACCAGCTGCCCCTTGTCACCATGCTTCCGGGAAGTTCCTGTTTCTAACACTACCTTGCAGGTCGTGTATTCGTGTACTCGACATGGGCTGCAAGCGAAAACGGCTCGGGACGCTACCGCAGCTGAGCACATGGGACCTGTCGATCTGACGGATTCCCATGATTCGACTTCCCCGCGCACAAGATATCAGGGCTACTGTTATCGGTTCGTGCCACCGCATCTTGATTCGCCGTCTTGGCCTGCATTCATACCGAGTACTTGACAGCCCTCCAGTCCTCCCACGACTACTCCGTACAACTCGGTGCAAGGTTGGACTTTACACCCCGGCCCGAGCCGCTGCAGGTGTAGAAGGTTAGGACTCAAGAGGACAGATGCCGGTTTCAATACCAAGCCTGCTGGGATGCCCGGTGGTACTTGCTCTTGGCAGCGTCCGGGAAATTGTAGACAACCACTGCTTGAGCGCTTTGCCGACCATTGCATCTGCTCGATGAGGACAGGCACGAAGAGACGTCCTTGAGGCGTACACGAAGATGGGGGTTCACATTTCCATCCAGAATCAGCAATCGCGGTGAGCAAGGGCTCGGGACCGGGTACGGAGTAGATGCATGGCAGTCGGCAGGAGGAACACTCACGTTGACATGCACTCCAGGATTTGTTGGGGTTGCGAGTGGTGAAATCGATCAAGAAGCATCAATAATGCCGCTGTCTATGGAGCTGGTCACATCCTGTCGTCCTGGTTCGTGTGCGGTGAGCTCCAGGAGCCATCATATTGGTTAGATTCTGGACTCGTCGTTGTGACACCTTGCTACTTAAAGCGAGCACGGGCAGCTTTTTCTGACCGGCGTTGCACAGCCGACGGGCCCCATGATCATCGAGGTCCTGGACTGCTGGCGAGATTCCCCGGCTCAGTGACACTGGTCTTGCGGCGACAAAGAGTCTCTCTCAGCATCACCCTCCTCCTCTGGTGCCCAACGGGTAGGCAGCAAAGAGCGATTACGAAACGCTGCAGGTGCCGCTGGGACGGTTGAGCGAAAGGCTCGTCGACGGGCACTTTCGACGACGCCCTACACGAGGGTAGACGAGTCCTGCGTCAGGTTACTGATGCTGTACCTTGGGCGTTCCGTTCGAGTTTATTCCTTGTACATGCCAGGTTGTGCATTTGTCATATTCAATGCTACAGATGCCGCGTTCACCTTTACACAATCGCCTGGCGACATGGTTGGGAATTCCCACGACCTCGGTACCGCACAACAGTTCACACAAAGACGTGGCTGATCGTTGATGGTCTCGACACCAGGGTTCTTCTGCATATCCTACTAGTAGTATTCATCGTTGGAGAATTCTTCCAATCATGTCTTTGACGGCACACGATTCTAAAGACTTTCCGCATCATGCTCGACGTCGAGCATTACAAGATGCCTCCACGATCCCGTTGCTTACATTGCAGACGGAGCCGCGTAACTCATCCCGCAAAACGGCGTATCATGCTGCCCCTTTGTCCCGTTTTGGTTTTTTCCAAACCACGTACAAGCCACCACCGGCGACTTTTGGATCCCTGTTCGGGTCCGAATGCTAGCAATCTAACGCCATCGAGGCATTCGTGGTGGCTGACCGGTCAGCTCCAATCGATGAGATGAAACATCCTCTGTGGCGAGTCGCAGTTCTACCACTTATCCATCTGTATTTGTCTTGACTTGCTCCATCTTCAGCTCCTGATGGTCCGTGACAAAACGACATTGCATGGACTTGAATCTGCAGTGGCGCCCTTCCACCTGCTATCAAGTGTTTGCAGGCAATGCCATGTAGAAGAAGAAGAGGATGCAGAAGCCACAGGGATACAAGAGATTCGCCACTTCATTCATGTCAGATATGTATCCTGGAGACTCTGGGTCCATCCTCGTAGCCCAGTCTTTCCTACTTTGTCCCATTTTCAACCTCCTCCGTCTTGTGCCAGAACCTGCCTGTGAGTAAAGTTCCGAAACTTCAAACATCGGTATCTGGTTCACGGCGATGGAACGGCTTCTACTACTCTCTGTCGACAGGGCCATGACAGATTCACGGCGACTTCAACGAGCACAATCGTCGTGATCAAAATATAGCCAGTGCATTTCCATCATTTCTCGCTAGCAGCATCGAGCTATTACGAAAAGCAAACATGAAGCTGATCCCGGCGGCCATGTGGATTCCAAGAATAGTCACGGAGTAACTGTGACGCAAGCCTCTACGCGGCCAGATTTGCCCACATGATTTGTAGCCCGACTCCCGTTCACCAGACAAGTCAGAAGACGCCAGAGCACGTCCCGATCTGACATACACCGTTGAACATGCCATTACCGAGCGTCACCTGTGCTCGGGCGACGGCGAGCAACGCGGCTAGGCGCAAATGGTGCCTCGCGACCTCAGAGTGCGGCACCATGGCTGGGGATCCGTTCCCAAGCATTGGTCGCAGTGAAGCACATAAGGAAATTGGTTGGGATACTGGCAGACGCATGCGTAATCATGCGCAGCTCTTGCCACGGGCGAGTTGGCAGCAGGAGCAGCCAGAACAGCGGCAGAAAAGACGGCAGCAACGAGAGTGAGTGTCTTCATCTTGATGATTTGTAAGAAAGGGCTCGTGAGAGGTCTTGTTCAAGTTTTGCAAGGGGCGGTGTGGAGCTCAGGAGGGCAGGTTGCCTTGGGAGCGCTCACGGCGCCTTCTTATACTTGGACACTGCTCCACGGCATGCGAGGTTATTCCTGGCTCTGACTTTTGGTCTGCTCAAGTGGGCGAGGGCAGTGGACAGGAAAGGCAGTTTGATTGGGCTACTGGTTTGTCGGTGCGGTGCGCCCGAAGCTGACGCGATTTCCCATCTCAGTCAAGCCACGGCGGCACTTGTCCAAGTCTCCAACGTCGAGTTGAGCCGGCGAACCCGTCATGGGGCATTCGATGCAACGCAAAGCATCGGTATAGGTGTATCCGCCGTCTCGCTCGGATATCGTCTCGTTGCCCGGGGTGTAGTGCGCGTATAGGGGGCTGCGGATGTTCTGGGGTTTTCCAGCGGCCATCAAACCTTGGCACCGCGACGCCCTCGGATAGAGCACCAGTGGTTGCTGGCACCCATTCGCGTCTGTCATGCAGCCAATTCTGCACGTGGTCAATATCGCGGACGGAACGACGGGGAGTGAGACGTGGCAGAAACTCGGAGCCGAAGCCGGTCCGTCCACGGCATCGTGGGCATGACCTTGGACGGGGCAATGCTTTATTCGATAGACGTTGTATTTACGGGGTGCAATGGCATCGCCGCAAAATACAGTCGCATTCGAGTCTCCCCAGTCTGACCACCATTATCGTGTCGAGAGAAACACGTCGCTCCGGGCAGTGGTGGAGATGAGAAGCCCCCGTGCGTCGTGATTCTTGCCTTGTCTCCCACGGGAGCCGGGGGGAATAGAGGCAAGCTTGCAGAGTTTACCGAAAATCACTGCTTCATTCAGTATGTCGTAAAAAGGACCCTGCGAGCGTCATCTCGCAAACATGGTCGCCTACCACCTTGACAGGGCAACGTGGCTTGATAGACCAGCCCAACGTGTAAGAACTGTCTCTAGACACTTCGGATTCGCGGTAGGGCACGCGCGCTCAAGCTCATTAAGAGAGTATATCTGGGGACCTTGTATAAATAGGCATCAAATCTGCTCTGCGTTTGAAACTCCTTGTCCTGCAATCATTTCTCTGACTTGAACGCTATCCATTTTTCGTCGTCACCAAGAACAAGATTGAAATATTTGCTTGCAAAATGAAGCCGGCCACTGCCTTTGTCGCTCTATGTGGACTCTTCTGCTCCGCGTACGCAGGGCAGAGCAATATCAAGGCACGAGGGGACTGCCAGGTGGCATGCGACTCTACGCTGCGGACCTGCTTGAACCAGTGTGCGGGCGACGTAGGTGCCTCTCCATCACGCCTTGCCAGCCGCGGCTAAGAAGATGTTACAGGCTCAGTGTATTAATGGCTGCTGGGGCGCGAACCTGAGCTGCCTCGCAAACGTGAGTTTCCTGCGATACAAGACCCTGGCAACAAGACCTGATATCCTACGACGTAGTGCCCCCCGGATAACTAGAGCGCCAAGAGAGACGGGGCCGAGAGTTCATGTATCGCACCGGGTTGGAGTTGCTGTAGCTTGGATCTGCTCGCGGTAGTGCTCCCCAGATTGCGCAAGGAAAGAACGCGGGGAATCAGGTAGTTGAAGCTCCTTCAAATTATTCATCTACTCTCCTAGTGCCCTCATAAATTCGTACTCACGTAAAGTCCCACATTGGTTCCAAAGTACATCGATGCATGGCCTGTTGTTGAATTCTGCCTTTGCACTCTCGGACCTACGGTGTTCTGGGCAGTCTGCCTCCCAGTGATAAATCAGGTCATGAGAACTGAGAGGCTACGCCCTTGTAGAAACGTCGGGTCCATGGTGAGGAATTTCTAAACTGGCACTTGAACATGGGCGTGTTGCCCGAGACTATCTCTCTGTTGATGCGTTGAGCAAGAATACGCCATGACTAATTGAAGGCGAGTGAAGTGATAAGATGAAGCCGCCCCTTCATCTTGGGTCACGGGATACCTCGACGTCGACAATGGTTTGGATATTGATGGATGCATTTCCGTTCCGGGGCGTATGCAGGGTCACGACAACATGCTTTCTTCTCTTTTTTGAATTCAACGGCCACTACAATTCGAGTCGGCATCTGCAGGGGCTATATCTAGGCCCCAAGTGTCTCGCGGGGTTCAATGCCCGGGGTGTAGAATCTTGCTGCTGGACACTCGCAGCGCTGGGCGTGTCGATGCCTCATGGCGACTCCAGTCTGCAAGGTCGGCGGCTGGCATGACAAAAGCCACAAGTTCCTTGCCGTGTCGATAATCGGGGTGCGTGGCCCAGCAGTAGTGCTGCCATCAGACTTGTGATGGAGGAGGATGAATCATCATGGTCTGCCAAGGCTCAATTGGCCGTAGCTGCGTTGTGAGATGAAGACGCTGTGCAGGACGCAGGATGCAGGTCCAAGCGGGACAGCGTGCATTTGATAGTTACGCATAACAAGAGATGCAAGTATGTGAACTCGGCCACGAATGGAGGCGGGTTAATTGAGTGCGCAAAAAGTACTAGACTCTAGTATTCATCTCTAGATCTGCAGCTCGCCGGGTTTCCTCCCGTCAACTGCTCCGTTGCGGACTGAACCCAGCACGCTATGCTGCTCGGTGCATGCCAAGCTACGCAGCTTTGAGTTTCCCCACACCAACAAAGCACCAGTCACCGTCACGTTCCTGAAATTCAATGTCGCTCGGCGGCGGCCGCTGGAGCTTCCAAGGCGTTGCCCGTCTCGACTTGCCCGGGCAGTGCGCGGGATCAAAGCAGCTGAAGCAGCTCTAGCCTACGCAGCACAACCATGCGAGATTGTCCAACGAATCCAAATATGACGCGGTTTCAGATGGCAAACCAGGTGTTGGCGGCGGGTGTGCTTCGACTTGGTTCCTGGGGACGGCATGTAGGGCGCCGCTAGCTCCAAGTGATGGCCGCACTGGTTTGCATTGTGGATCAGGTCGGCCATCTAGATGCATCATGGATGCTTCTCACGACGCTCCATGCATACCAAGGTTAATGCCTCGCCGTCCATTATCCGTCAGGACTCAGGACGGCTCGACGTTCGACTCTTGTGTCGGCGTGGGTTCGCGCCGCATGGTTCCTTCCGGCGCTAGTCCATTTTGGGAGCCGCATGTGGAGCCGCACCGCACCTCGCACCTCGCACCTCGCACTTTGACTCGTATCTGCACAAACTCCTCCCAGGTCGGCAAGTGCCTGTGATGTTGCAGTTTCAGGCCGCCCGAGCCCCTGGCGGGCCGTCTGGTCGCGCCCTTGGCAAAGCTGAGCATTGATTTCGAGCACAGGGCCCAGGCACAGGGGTTGCTCGGCACCAGCGGCTGGGTGAAGGGCCAGCCCGCGCGACGGGAGACGCAGAATCTACCCCGTCCGATGCGTCGCAAACGTATTCGTGACTATGTACGGAGTACGGCCACGGCTAAAAGGGGCCTCCGCGGCATCTATAAATCCGCCAACCGCAAGATTTCCAGGAAGCAGAGGATGTCGACTGATTATCTATCACCTGTTTGAGGCACTCCGGACAACTAATCTGCCGCGGTTTGATTGGTTCAGACTCCAAAGACCCCCCCCGGAACATTTCGCGTTCGGCTTCAGCCGTCAGGGATGGTTCCTGGCGCGGCGTGACCTGGGGTCGCTGCTTTTTATTTTTCTATTTTCTCTTTTTTAATCATCAATGCTACCGTCGTGGTCAAGACGGGAGGATTTTCCGTCGGTGTCGGGACAGAACAAAGGAAATATAGTAACAAATAGTATATATAGTCCACCATCTCCTCGTTTCTCTTACACGTTTGACGAGCACCGCGCCCCCCCTGGCCAAACCACTTGACCGTTGATTTCAATGCTGCGCGTACTGGGAAAGAGACTCAGGCCTCGTCTCGTCACCGTCATCACCACTTCATCATGAAGCGCGCGGCCGAGACTTTGCTGCTGGGCGGCCTGTTGTTCACGGGGCAAGTTGCCGGCCTCGGCCTGCTGCTGGGGATGCTGGGCTTGAGGCGGCCGCCGGTAGCGCCGGGCTCCAACAAGCCACCGCCGGTTGTTGTGTCGGGATCGAAGCAACACTACCGAGAGAGTTCGACCTTTTCCAAGCTCTTTGCCGCGCCGCCCATCGGCAACGAGCTCAGCCGCGCGGGGTGGAAAGCATCCTGCGACAGCTTCGAGCCCGGCTACGAGTGCGGCAGGGCGATTGACGGGACCAATGGCACGTTTTGGCACACGAGATACGAGGGCTCCAACCTGCCGCACCAGATTGTGGTCGACTTTGGCTCCGCGCACGACATCAATGGCATCTCGGCGCTTCCCCGACAGGACGGCAACAACCACGGCTTTATAGCGCAGCACGAGGTGGCCGTCAGCGCCGACGGGCGGAGCTGGGAGACGGTGGCCGCGGGGGCCTGGTACGGCGGCGACGACCAGCTCAAGTACGCCAACTTTGAGACCCGTTCGGCGCGCTACGTCCGCGTCAGGGCCGTGAGCGAGGCCGGCGGCAACCCGTGGACGAGCCTGGCCGAGCTCAAGGCGTACGGGGCCTCGTCGGGACCGGCCGCGTACGGCGGCGTGGGCAAATGGGGCCCGACGATTGACTTTCCCACGGTGCCCGTGGCGGCGGCCGTGGACCCGGTCTCGGGGAGCGTGCTCGTGTGGTCGTCGTACACGTACGACAACTACCTCGGGTCGCCGCAGGACCGCGTCTTCACGTCGACATGGGACCCTGCGACGGGCAGCGTGACGCCCCGGCTCGTGGACAGTACGGACCACGACATGTTCTGCCCGGGCATCTCCGTCGACGGCACGGGCAAGATGGTCGTGACGGGGGGCAACTCGGCGTCCAAGACGACGCTCTACGACTTTGCGAGCGGGAGCTGGGCCCCGGGCCCCGACATGAAGGTGCCGCGCGGCTACCAGGCGTCGGCGACGCTGTCGGACGGACGCGTCTTCACCATCGGCGGCTGCTGGAGCGGCGGGTGGTTCCAGAAGAACGGCGAGGTGTACGACCCCAAGGCCGGGACGTGGACCGGCCTGCCGGGGGCGCTCGTGCGTCCCATGCTCACCAACGACGCGCAGGGCGTCTTCCGCGCCGACAACCACGGCTGGCTCTTTGGCTGGAAGAACGGCAGCGTGTTCCAGGCCGGGCCCAGCGCCGCCATGAACTGGTACGCGACGGCCGGGGGCGGCTCCGTGACGGGGGCCGGGCCGCGGCGGTCGGACCGCGGCGACGACGGGGACGCTATGAACGGCAACGCCGTCATGTACGACGCGACGCAGGGCGCCATCCTGGCCGTCGGCGGCGCGCCCTCGTACCAGAGCAGCCGGGCGACGGCGCACGCGCACCTCATCCGCATCGCCGACCCGGGATCGCCGGCCGTCGTGCGCTTCGCCTCGGCCGGCATGTGGAGCCCGCGCTCCTTCGCCAACGCGGTCGTCCTCCCGGACGGCACCGTCTTCGTCACCGGCGGCCAGAGCTACGCCGTGCCCTTCTCCGACGACACGGCCCAGCTGACGCCCGAGCTGTACGACTCGGCCGCCGACAGCTTCCGCCGGCAGCAGCCCAACTCCATCGCCCGCGTCTACCACAGCGTCGCCCTGCTGCTGCCCGACGCCCGCGTGCTCAGCGCCGGCGGCGGCCTCTGCGGCGACTGCACCACCAACCACTTTGACGGCCAGGTCTTCACGCCGCAGTACCTGCTGACGCCCGACGGGAGGCCCGCCGTCCGCCCCGTTATCCGCTCCGCCACCCTGTCCGGCCGCAGAATCACCGTCGCCGTCGACTCGCCCGTCTCCTCGGCCGCCCTGCTCCGCTTCGGCACGGCCACCCACACCGTCAACACCGACCAGCGCCGTGTCCCGCTGACCCTGGCCGCCGCTTCCGCCGCCGGCCGCAACACCTACGTCGCTGACGCGCCTTCCGACCCGGGCATCCTGCTGCCCGGCTATTACATGCTGTTTGTCATGAACGACAAGGGCGTGCCCAGCGTTTCCAAGACGCTCCGCTTCCTGGTGTGACGGGGGGCAATGGAAAAAGAAAAAACACAAGAGGTCGTCGTAGACTTGTTCATGTACGCTTGTATTTTCCTCCGTCCCCGCTCTGTATGATAGTTGCACATTTCGCCGCGTGGCTCTCGTCGTCTGACAGTTTCTTGTACATTTCGCGAGGCAAAGAGCCCGCTACACATTTCCGAAGCGTACATGTTGCACAGCAGCGTGTTGGGAGTCTGGGACACGCAGGGACAGGAAGACGTTGGATGTGGTCGCGAGCATGCCCTTCATTCCGTCGCCCAGACGCACGGTTTCTGTAAATAAATGTCGGCAGAAAGAGGAGAGCTGCCCATGTGACGCAGCGTTTCCAGACGATCTCAACCTACAGGTGCCGCCTGCGGAGTGGAGTGATTTCTGGTCTGGCAATATATTGATTTATGAAGAAAAGGTCTCGGTAGAGGAGAAGAGAATGTCACAACGTCTTCCAGCACAATGTTGATCCGGCAGCCCAGCCGTACGCCTGACTCGTGAGTCTCGTCCCCCTGGGCCCTGGAGGAGGGCAAAGGGCTCCAATCCCCTGCCCATCCGCCCCCGGGCATGGCTGGCCACGCCTACAAAAATGCTCTGCAGCTCAGCCGGTCAGCCTCGCCAGCGGGCCATCTGGACGATCATGCCGCAGAGATACGGCCCTGCGCGCATACCGTCAGTGGAGGCCATGGCGGCAGCGAGACCAGCAATGTACGGGGCGGCCATGGAAGTGCCAGTCATGTAGCCCTGCGAATATTGTCAGCAAAACGATGATGAAGAAAGTAGCAGCCGAGAGGCTACCCGTCGGATGCGAGACTTTACCCATCGGCGTCCGGGAGTGAGAGAGGGAATGCCGACCGCAGGAGCCCAAATGTCAACGACTGGGCCGTAGTTTGATTGCCCGTATGCCTGGCCTCCCACGGTGCAGACGGACGGCTCCGAAGCGGGCGAGACATCTCGGGCATCTCGTCTCTCGTTGCCGGCGGCCACGGCCACAAAGTATCCCCTCTCCACGAGCTTGCGAGCCGCCATGTTCCACATTTCCGAGCGGGAGCCCGACAGGGACAGGTTGACGACGACGCCGTTGGGGCAGCGGCGCCGGGGTGCGTCCTGGGCGACAAAGTCCATGCCGGCAACGATGTAGGAGGCGGGAGTGAGATGGTACCGTTCCGAGAGCGCCTTGACGGCGAAAATGTCGGCCTTTTTGGCTATTCCGTACGTGTTGCTGCCAAAGATGCCGGCGACGTGGGTGCCGTGCCCTATGTAGTCGGTTCCTGTGCGGTCTACCGTGGACGCAATGATCTGGGCTCGACCCCCAAAGTCCTGCCGGGCAGTCAGTTGGTTAGTTACCTTTGCAAATGCGGCTCGCGGGGAGGATGCGGTCGCAGGAGACGTACGGGATGTGAGGCATCTATGCCCGTGTCGATGATGTAGCCACAGACACCTTTGCCGGCGTTTGGATTATTGAGATATCGGTCAAAATAGGCATGTTGTCGTCGTGAAAGATGAGGCGTGTCCGACGTGTTGGCCGGCTTCAGGGGCTCAAGAGTGGAGGCAGGAAGTCTTTGGTCCTGTTCGACGAATGCGACCTGTCATGGGCTCAAAAGAGCATCGAGTTAGGACGGTGCTCTTCTTGTGGGAGCTTGCCTAGGTGGGTGGGAAATCAAACACACGGCAGGGTGGGCTCGCAACTTGTCGAGGCTATCCTCATCCAGCTCTGCCGTGAAACCCTTGAACAGGCTCTCGTAGACTTGGGTGGTGCTGTTGTCTGGGCACAGTTCCATGGCACTTTTGAGACTGCAAGAGTCCTGGGCGCCATCCTTCAAGGCCACGAGATATCTGCCCGGGTGGACGGCTGATGGATCGCGAGGAACGATGAGACGAGCAAGTTCCGAGCGTTTCGAGGCAGGGACAGCAGCCGCAAACGGCAGGAGACAAAGCAGAGTAGATGGACGCATTGTAAATCAAAAGAAAGGATGAGTAGAGCAAAGAGAATGTAGGTAGAGCAAAGAGAATGTAGGTAGAGCAAAGAGAATGCAGGTAGAGCAAAGAGAATACAGGTAGAGCAAAGAGAATGTACAAATGGTCAAGGACTGTCCTGTGGTCGATGCTGGCCCTTTGCCTCGCCTTGTTCCATTGCGGCCTATTTATTATTTCTACCTTTTGACAAGACTCCAATAAAACAGCACGGGACAAGAAAATCAGATCATTCTACCAGACAGTCTCGTCTCGTCTCGCCTGACATCTGCCATCTTAATTCCCCGACATCCGCGACTCATGTTGCGACCTCCGAATTCGGCAAAAAGCCAAGGACACCGCAGCACGGATGAAACACTAGAACCGGGGAACCGGGACAAAAGCTTGCGGACAAGGTAGCAAGTCATCCCCACGTGCCGGGAACAGCACTGTCAGAAACCCCTTCAGTTGAAAACTTGCGCACGACATTTCGGTGGATATTCATGCGTTGGAACCACTGCGGAGGCTGGTGCCTCCATGCAAGTTGCTCGGGACAAGACGTAAGCCCAGAAGCCGGATAGATAGATTGCACCGGATAGTTTGGACCGTGGTACATGTGTCCAAGCAGGGGGGATGCTTGAGTGCAATAGAGGCGTCGTCTGGGAACGTACGCGGCACGACTACGACGTCGTGCTGCGTCACTCGCCTCCTTCTTGGCAGCAGTGCCTTGCGCCGCGTCGAGATTGTCCAACGTCCAACTCAAGAATGCGTCAACGAGAAACGGTGACAGCTAAATTGCGCCATGTACAGCGCGTTTGGATCTCCGCATGTGCGACAAGGTATCTTGTATATTTTGCGTAGTGAGGGGATGAGTCAAAGTTGCGCCGAAAAACATGACATCACTCTGGACTGTCGTCAACAACCATGACTCGGGATGATGAAAGCAATTTCCTGGCTGTGTCACGCGTTGGCAGAAAAGGCCACTTGAGGGCCCAATGCTCTACGATGAGTGCAGGGCAGAGCCAAACAGGCTATACTACACAGAAGCCACACGAGAGCTCCAATGGACCAAACAAGCAGCACTCAGCAATAAGCTGGCTACGACAGTGTGATTCTGGGCGAGTGGTTGATCCAGAGCGTTGGTGCCGTTGAGCACGAGGCTGGACCCGACGAGCTGGATGTTGGAATAAGCGAGGAATTACGAGTGGATAATGTTGTGGAGAACTATACAAGGGCTGAAAAATATATTTATATTGAGAATATGCCCTAACCTGAGTGTTGTGGGTTAAGGAATTGACAACTATTGAAAGGGAATTGCTACACGGGCATGACACTTTGGCTACACGGGCATGACTCTTACACGGGCATGACTTTTACCACTTCTGATTGGTCGCATTGTCTCTGTTAACGACGCTGGATTCTGCCACCTCAGCCGCAAGTACCTGGGCCATTTTAACCTTGCTTCTGTGTAAATTACTTCATTTCGGCTAAGCTACTACGCAGCAACCCAGTGGTCGCGCAGTCGGGGCGACCCCCTCGAGCTTGCTTTCTTCATTTTCGTAGCTTTTAATAAACCATAATACGGCACCCTATGCTGTAGAGATAGCGACCAATTCTTTCACTACAATCTTGTTCTCTTCTCAAGACGTCAATGTCTTTGCCTCGCACACCTCCTCGCAGGTCGCGGAGCCCTAGTCCCAGTGATCAATCACAAAGAGGAAAGCGACACAAATCCAGTCGGCGACGCAGATCTAGTCCTTCCACAGTTGAAGACCGACCACAATCCGCGAGTAGCTCTGCTACGAGTATCGGTCAGTTCTACGGCCTCGGGGACGAAAATGCACTCGATAACCTGTTCGCCTCTTTCCCGCAAACACTTTCAAGTCTCCCACACCCCCATGGTTCACAGGGCCGCCATGAGCCTGCATGGGGCCTTCGATCTGACTATGAGATATATCTTCAAAATGACTTCTTCCGTGGAAAAAGATGGAGCCAGCGAGTCAGAGCGCTTATACCAGGCCCAGAATTTGATCCATTCGCCTCTGAACCTCCCGAATCACCCCCATCCGCCCAGCATCTCCCAACAAGGACAAGAGCCGAGTTCGAGTCCGCAATGCGCATAGTACGAGAGGTTACCGGCGAAGGTCGAAGGCTAACTGTAGACCTTGCTCGATCATACGAACGTGTACAAGCTTGGCGAGAGAGATGGGGATGGTCACCATTAAGTTTCGAAGCATATGACTCTCCTCCACCGTACTCTCCACCTCGTAGGTCACCCACACAACCTCCTCGAATATCACCGACGCCCGAAAATATTAGTTCCTCGCCTATGCGACAGTCTCTATCTCCCGCCCCGGAGCCAATTCCGAACCCAATAATCCCTGGCGACCCAGCGCCCTCGGCCGAAGTTCTTTTTAAAACAACCAACGCATTTGCAAAGGAGAACGGATTTGGTATTATTCGGCGGAATAAATATTCCTATAAGGGACGGTTGATTAGGTACTCCATTCAATGCGACCGGTTTGGACAATCTCGGGCCTCGGGGGGTTCTGGTCTTCGAACCCGAAGGTCTCGGAAGTGTGATTGCAAATGGATGATAATTGCTGAAGCCCTAGAGGAAGGCAAGTGGCTTCTTCGACAACATAGAGACCCGAAACATCACCAGCATAACCATGAACGGAGTATTACGCCATCTGCGCATGTTTCCCACCGCCGCCTTACTACACCAGTTAAAGCAACCATCGAGTCAGCAAGCCGTCGCGCGGGTATTCGAGCCAGTGATGTAGCTGCTATGGTTGAGGAGCAATTCCCCGATACAACACTCCTGCGGAAGGATATCTATAATGCCCGTTCGTTCATTAACCGAGAGAAGCTAAATGGCTATACACCTACTGCGGCATTGATCAAACTCTTTGATGAGAAGAAGATCCCATACATCGCGAAATGGGCCGATGATGATCCAGATAGACTGCTTGGTCTTGTCTGGACCTTTCCGTACTGTCTACAGATGTGGAAGCGCTTCCCCGAGGTTATTAGCTTTGATAACACATATAACACTAATCGCTTCAAGCTTCCTTTATTCCAGGCTACTGGCCAAACCTGTCTTGGAACTGTGTTCAATGCTGCATTTGGCTTAATAGATAACGAGAGGAGGGAGGGGTTCCAATTCCTTGCAGAGAGTGTTCGCAAGCTCATTACAAAACACTCACTCAGGGAACCAGATGTCATCATCACAGACTTCGACAAGGCTATGAAAGCTGCCGTTAATGATCAGTTTCCAAATGCACAGCAACAGCTTTGTATTCATCATATCCTTTCAAACGTTTTGCTTAAATCGAAGACTAGGTGGACGGGCCAACGTGAGGACAGTACTACTAGCCCTAGCGCTAGTGACAGTGAAGACATTCCCTCACAGGCGGATGGCGGGTTGAGCACTACAGATAAGCATCTGATCGAAGATCGGTCGAGTAGTGATAAGATTCCTCATACTTACCAAGGCGTTGTTTTAATGTGGAAAAAGGTTCTCTATGCCGAGACTGAGGAAGCGTTTGAGCAGGCATGGAGAGATCTTTGTAAAGAGTTCGACGACCAACGAGCGATCTTACAATACCTCTACTCGACTTATATGCCTGTTAGTGCTCAATGGGCACGTTGCTTTATCCGTCGTTATCGTAACTTCGGAATCCGAGTTACGTCCGGCACAGAAGCAAGCAACAATAATATCAAAAGCTATCTATTAAATGGCATGAGCCACCTCTACCGACTCGTCGAGGCAATGCAGGATATGATACATGACCAAGAACGTGCCTTTAAGGATGCCTGTGGACAGGATGATGTCCTGACTGCTCCACAATACCTAGGTTCGATGGGAAACTATCTTGGTGAACTACGAACAACCATGTCATCGAAAGGACTTGGGTTAATCAACAAGCAATACTGTATTGCTCGCAAATTTCTGCCGACGGGGAAGAATCCCTTCCCCGACTCTATTGGACTTTGCGACGACGACTGTACGGTCTCTATTGAGCTGGGAATCCCATGCTATCATAAAGTCTACGCAAAGCTAGATTCTGACACACGTTTCACTAAATGGGAGGTCCACCCACGCTGGCGACTACGGGAATCGGCATCTCAAGATCCATACCGACGAATTCTTGACCCGAAAGTTGCCACTGCACTACGTGGAAGGCCAAAGAATACAGCGCAGGTTATCCCAGAAAGCCTAGCTATTACATCAAGTAGCCGATCTGATAATCAACCAAGTGGGCGACGAGGTCGACCGCCAGGAAGTCTCAATAAGCCAACTCTTGCTAGGAGAGTGCATAAAGCTACTCGAGAAACCATCACACAAACTGGTGGCCAAATTGGCATCTCAGCCCAGCAAGGGCCAGGTAGACCTTCTAAAGTCCTAAATGCTGGGAATACGACAGGCGTGCGGTACAGTGGACGGAGGACGCAACGAAACATTCGCAGGACAAGGAGTCAATGGGAACTGGCTAAGAGTGATGACGAAGATCCAGATTGTATCGTTGTGAGGCAATAAATTAAGTAGACCACATCACGTCTTTTGCCAGTATTTGACAGTTACTGGCTAACAGTACAAGGACGGTAGTTTAATCCGAAATGCAGGCTTGCAAGATAGCAGAAGACCAATCGCGCCCACAACGATAAGTGACACTGCAATTCATGGTGATGTAGGAGCTTGTTAGTGAAGTTGGCTACACCGCCTTTCCGAGGAAGTATCTGTGGGGCCAAGAAAGTATGCGACCAATCAGAAGTGGTAAAAGTCATGCCCGTGTAAGAGTCATGCCCGTGTAGCCAAAGTGTCATGCCCGTGTAGCAATTCCCTTAATCAACTAGTAATTATGAAGTATGTCACGGGAGTTGTAGGTAGGTTCAATAAGTCAGGGTCATAAGCTACTTTTCTCCAACGCCACCGGAGCATCTTCGCTGATTCACAGTGCAGCCAAGGTTCAAGGATTGGGGCAGTTTCGCTCGCAAGATTTAGATGGAGTCCCATTCATGATTCATGGCGAATCATGAGCTTGTGGGCTTCGCTTTGATAAAGGGGCGTGACAGACATTGACTCGTGCTTCACACCAGTAGAGTTAATACCGAAACATGGCTTGGCGCGATAGGGCGCCCGACTCCGTCATCGGGTGAAGATTACAAATCTTGCGCGTAGCATACCAAGATCGCGAGTTTCTGATTACCTAGTGCGGCATGACTGGCTTGCCCTGCTCCGCCCCAATATCAGCACCAAGGAGCCCTGACAGGTAGCCACTCGCTGCATGCCGTCTTGCGATTGTAGAATAGCCCGCAATTCCCAACCTAGTACTTGAGTACCAGTAACGGTGTTAAAGCGAGCTCCTGGACAGACTGTGGTATATGCAAAAGCCAGGTCAACGAACACGTTACCTTAAAAGCCGAAGGTTGGACTTTTCCGAGCCGTGCAAGGTGCTATGCTATCCTTGTGCACAACAGTGTAGTTCTAGAACTCAAGGATGATTTTTGCAACCAACTGAGATAAATGCTGATAACTCCCGGAGGGAATAAACCCAAGGCACCGTTGGATATCACGTCTTGAACTCGATGACCTAAAAGAATGCGAATAGAGGACTCCTCCTAGGTTTAGAAACATACTTACTACCGCTGGCGGCAGTAAAAGACGGCGTGTAGGTCTTATTTTATTCGCGAGAATCTACGGTATTCCAAATGTCTAGGCTGGAATAGACCTAACTCCAGGGCCGTCTCGAGTGCCACGAAAAGCGCCAAATAGGGCCGGGTGGTAGCAAGCGGGTTTCTCGCCGGCCGCACACAACTATATTGTCATTACCGCTCTGGTTTTCGTGCCCGAGATCTCCCTTTTGGCATACCACAATCTGCAAATCAGTCATATATCAGTTTATGATTTGTAAGTGTTGCGTAGTTTTGATGACGACTCGCATACCTCCGTTATATCGACACCAAGCGAATGCTCTGGCGATGGATCTTTAGGCAGCTCTATGGGACTGTAGTCCTCGGCATATAGATGTCGACATTCGAGAAGATCAAATTCATCTCTTTCACTGATTCTTATTGACTAGAGACGTTCATTCAATGTGAACTACCGACTTGGGGCGAGGATATAGTAATAAACCAGCAAGTCAAGCTCGAAAAGCTCTGGACTACTGAATGTCCTGTTTCCCCATTTATGATCACAGTCAGTGACTAGGACGAGGGCTGTAGTAGGAGCGCCTTACGCAATAACTCAATTTAACTGTATTGAAAGACTTTAGCGTGAATCTCACTTGTTTTCCCATTGCTCTTAATGCCTATACTGGGAAGACACTCCTTTGAAGTTCTGGCTGAATGTTCAAAGGCAAATTCCCTTTGAACACCATAATAACGTCGCGCGTAAGTCACATGACAACCGTGGGCGGCACAATTCAGCTCCGGAGTTAACTTTCACGTAGAATGTATGCGATCGAAGAAGGATACCTATTTCCAATTTGAAACTGTCCATTCCACGGACTTAATACCATATTTGATCAAAATGTGGGAAGCTAGAGTCATGAAAAGCTTACATAATCATCTGGATTGGAGGAATTTTTTCCTGACCGGAGCCTAGAGGCGCGGTCGACTTTTCGACGCATGAAGGTCAATCCATGACGAAGGAAAACTGTTTGTGATTGGGGTCTTGTAGCCCATCATGAGGGAACTTTTTACCGTGCCTTCAGGTCTTCTGATGCAACAGGACTTTATTTCACCAGAAGCGGAGTGTGAACTACTGAAAGTCTTCGCTCATCTCGAATGGCCAACGTTGCCCGGCCGACGGTCTCTTCATTTCGGTTACACATTCAGCTATAAGACATTCGGCATTGACCATGACATCCCCTTCAGAGCCTTTCCTGACTGGCTCGTTCCAGTCCTGCCTCAAAGAGAGGACAGGCAACCCGACCAGGTTTGCCTACAGCACTATCCTCCGGGGGCTGGTATCCCGCCTCATGTCGACACACATAGCGCATACGATCAGCTCTATTCGTTGTCGCTGGGCTCGGCAGTATGCATGCAGTTCCGCAACGGCGAGTCAGGTGACAAGGTTGAAGTAGACCTGCCGCCGAGAAGCCTGCTGAAGCTGAGCGGTGATTCAAGATTGCACTGGACCCATGGTATCAGAGCTCGCAAGACGGACACACTGGCCGATGGAACAATACGACCGAGGCAAGACCGGTGGAGCATCACATACCGGTGGCTGCGAGAAGAAGCTACATGTGAATGCGGGAACGAGAAGCTGTGCGATACTGCACAAAGCCGACGGGGCATCGCAAGAGCATACAGATGGCAGAAGCCGAGCACTGACACTGAGGACAAGGAGCCGTGAATCGCCTCTCCGACCACCGACCGTGAACTTGGCGTGGAAGCATGTATTTATCTACTCATCCCTTGACAGCGACAACAACGGCCCGTCACCGGCAAATCCCATCTAAAATTTGCAGCTTGCCAACACCGACGAGTCACAACCAGCTCCTTCGGGCAGCCCAGCTGAGGATTCATTGAAGCCAGACGGGACAAGTTTCCTGGCCATGCAGGTGACGGTATTGCACTTGCTGCGTGTCTGACGGGTTTCAACGAGGCGACTCTGCCTGGATCACCAGATGCCCTTCGGATAGTTTGTCAACTTGTTGCCGACTTGGATGCATTTATGTGGCGCTGAGGAGCCTTATTTCTCGCGGAGAAAGGGAGTTTGTTGTTTTGTCAAGAACATGAGTTGTAGGGTAGGTCTTGGCCATGAAAATTCGATGTACTCCCCTTTGCTAACGAAGTACCTAGGTAGAAATAGGAAGGTGCTGGATTTATGCGAGTTGTGAAGCATTACATCACGTCGGTGCGCCTTTTTTCGTCAAGACCGATTTTTTTTCTTTTTGAATTTGGTTGACGCACGTCAACTCTAGATGTCAAAGCTGCACTCCGCACCACGTGCCATGTGACGACATCTCGACCCTGCATCTAACCGCTGTCTCACCTTCAATTGCCTTCAATTGCATCGAATTGGGCAAGGTCCTAGGTATCCTTCCCCTCGGCGTCTGGCTTCTACTTCTCAGTTCCTTTTTTCCACCTTGCATTCGCTGCCCTGACAGGGACTGCATGCGCGCAATGGAACGCACAGATCCAAAGTCCAACACAATGCAACACGAGGCGTCGCCGCATCTCGAATGGTCTGACGAAGCAGCCGTGACTAGTGACATGCAAACCCACGAGCCTCTGCCTCGGAACAATGCCACTGCGAGTCCACCGACCGGGAGCTTTCCGGGAAAGCTCAATATACCCTCGCGACCCAGGGCCAGCAGTGCTTTGAGGAACAAATCCACGCCATTCCCGTCTGGTCATGCGACTTCTGCTCCTACATGTTCAGCACTCGAGAGATGGCAGACGACCACTGGCGCGGATACGAGGGAGAGGGCTGAATCGATTCCGAGCAGAGCATGGATACCATTCATGGGACAACTGGCTCGAAACGCCGATGAATACGACTCGTCGTCCGAGCATGACTTTCTCGATCATGGCGCGACCGACCAGCGTCAGACAAGGTCTGCGGACCATGCCGGAAAAGTAGGCGTCAAAGATGCAGCTGCCGAAGCAACCAGAAGCAGTGTAATGAGAAGGGTTTTAGGGCGCAGTGAGCGCTCTAAAAGCACCGCGCGGACAAGGAATGACGGTCGATTGCGCATTACCATTCACGAGACTGCACACACTGGTTACGTGGCAAATGCTCTTGGGGCTGTTGCCCACAGCATGCGGCCCAAGAGGAAGACGGCTGGCGCATCATCAAACGCCATATGCTCGGCGGCTACTGCAACGCAACCGCGCCTCAACATTGTAGTCATGGTGGTCGGGTCTCGTGGCGATGTTCAGCCATTCCTCCGAATTGGCAAGTACATCAAGGACGAGTTTGGACACCGCGTCCGCATCGCCACTCACCCGACCTTTCGGGAGCTTGTTGAAAAGGACTCTGGCCTGGAGTTCTTCTCTGTCGGTGGAGACCCTTCAGAGCTCATGGCCTTCATGGTAAAGAACCCAGGCATGATTCCTACTCTCGAGACCGTCAAGGCTGGTGAAATCGGAAGACGGCGTGCCGCAATGGCTGTAATGTTTGATGGCTTTTGGAGGGCCTGCATCCACGCCACAGAAGATGAAACGACGGATCTCAAGTCCAAGACAATGGAAGGAAGGAACGTCTTCATTGCAGATGCCATCATCGCCAACCCCCCTAGCTTTGCCCACATCCACTGCGCCGAAGCTCTGGGTGTTCCTCTTCATTTGGTTTTCACCTTCCCTTACACACCAACGCAGGCTTTTCCGCATCCGCTGGCCAGCATCAAGAAGTCCAATGTCGACCAGGGCTACACTAATTTCATCTCATATCCACTTGTAGAGATTATGACTTGGCAAGGCCTTGGAGACCTAGTCAATAATTTCCGTGTCAATACCCTTGCTCTAGATCCTGTGTCTACCCTGTGGGCGCCGTGCGCGACGTACCGCATGCGTGTACCATATACGTACCTGTGGTCACCGGCTTTGGTGCCAAAGCCAGAGGATTGGGGCGGAGGAAATCGATGTATCTGGGTTTGTCTTCCTTGACCTCGCTTCTTCTTTCCAACCTCCGAAGGATTTGGTCGACTTTCTCGATGCAGGAGAACCTCCCATATATATCGGATTTGGCTCGATTGTAGTGGACGACGCAGAGCGATTTACGGATCTCATTTTTGATGCAATAGAAACCGCTGGGGTGAGAGCCCTGGTGTCACGAGGATGGGGCGGCCTCGGCCGAGATGGCGTCAAGCTCCCCGACAACATCTTGATGCTTGACAACACACCCCACGATTGGCTGTTCCCCAAGATTAGGGGCTGTGTACACCACGGTGGCGCTGGCACAACCGCGATTGGTCTGAAATGCGGACTCCCTACCATGATTGTTCCTTTTTTCGGCGACCAGTATTTCTGGGGTAGTATGGTGGGCAAGTCTGGCGCCGGGCCTGAGCCCGTGCCTTTCAAGCATTTGACGTCTCAGAAGCTAGCTGAGGGCATCAAGTATCTGCTTACTGATGAAGCGAAATTCGCCGCAGAGAAGATTGCTGCGTCGATTCGTGAAGAAGGAGACGGCGCCAGGAATACAGTCGCCTCCTTCAACAAGCACTTGAGGCTCTACGGCCCTCCGACTCTCAGCTGCTCTATATTCCAGGCACAGGCTGCCATCTGGAAGGTGAAGGGCACACACATCAGACTTGGCGCAGTGGCAGCCCAAATGCTCGTCGAGAGCGGTCAGCTTTGTTGGAAAAACGTACGACTCCTACGCCACACGGAATGGAACGACTTTGAAGGTCCGGGTGAGCCCGTGACAGCCGTGGCCGAGTCGCTCAAGAATTCTCTGCGAGACATATTTGGCGGCGTCGGAAGTGCTCCGATTCGCCTTGGGAGGACGGCAAAGCAGCGGGTGCGGCACCACGTGAGGACAATCAGGGAGAAAAGAACCAAGGCCGGTGACGAGGCCACGGGCGAGCAGGTCAATGAAAAGGCCATCGAAATGCCGCCGGTAAAGACGCAGAACAACAGGGTTGACCAGGAATCACCTCGCCACGTACCAGGACCGGACCAGTATGCCACTGACATATGCAAGAGTCTTGGTCAGACGTTGCTAGCCATTGCGAGGGCTCCGACTGGCCTTGTTGTTGCTCTTGCGCAAGGTTTTCACAATGCGCCTAGACTCTACGGTGATGACACGGTTCGTCGGCCGACGCGAGTCACGGGCATCCGCTCCGGGCTGGTTGCGTCGCGGAGGGAGTTTGTGCATGGCCTATACGACGGTTTCAGTGGTGTCATTTCCCTTCTAATTTAGGGCGCGAAAAACGAGGGTGCAGTCGGCTTCCTAAAAGGAACGGCTATGGGCATGAGCGGGCTAGTCTTGAAGTCGATATCAGCCGTCGTCGGACCAGTTGGCTATAGCATGCAAGGCGTGTTGAAGCAGGTGCAGCGCCGACGGAGCCCGCAGATATTCATAAGACGCGCTCGCATTGCGCAGGGCCAACGCGACGTCCAGTCTATGGATGAGAAGGAGAGAAGGTCGGCACGGGACCAGGTGCTGGCGGGATGGCAGACGATGCAACAATTGGCGCGGGATATTTCCGATGACGAGGACAAGAGGGGCATTGCCGGCCAGCTTGACAAGGTGTCACTTGACACGGGCTTGTTTTTCGTAAGCGTCGACAGGGCGCAAACTTGCTTGGATGAATTGAAGTCTGGCAAGAGCCTCGACGAGGTCATGATGGGGCTCAAGGACTGGAACTATAAACCACAGGATCCAATGACGCTGAAGAAGGGGACCAGGGGTAGTAAAAGATAGAAGGAAAACTACCGGGACTAGACACCCGCAAGACGGTCGATATCTCGAACGTTGACGGTCTAGACGTTTTGCCGGGAGGACCTTTCTCTTCCAGCCAGACCGTCTCCGGCGGGCTCGAGAGTGGATTGCTTCAATGGTACGGGAATTAAATGTCACGCCTTCCCCTTGAATATAGGCGCGTAGTCTTGCTGACGGATGACTAGTTTGTCGACGACATGACTATAGAACTCAAGTCCAACTATGGTTCTGACGATAAATGTTGACAAGTACGACCTGTACATGCTTCCCATTGTGAACTTGATGGTAAGGAGAATGACCCTCTGACCTTATACAAGCTTGGGACTGCCTTGGTATATTCAACTTTGGGCTTGTCTCCAGACTTGAGCCCTTCCCAGACAAATGACCGCCTGGGGAGTAAAAATCGCCAAAGTACCACGAGATGCACCGGAGGCCGGAGGTCTTTCTCGGCTCCTTCCCGATGTGAAGACTCAAGGACTAAAGTTGCACGCGGATTACCACTCCTGCTCACAATTCTCCATGGCCTGTCGGACGGCTTGATATTTCGCCCGCCTCCCTTGCCCTCTTTCTGGCCCCCTCAACCTCTAGCAAGGCGACTAGTGCATAATTGTAGTGTAGCAGACGTATACTCTTATTATGCTCTGTCTAAAAATAATAATAATCTTTATTTACTTATAAAATAAGCTATTAAAACTATTTACTTTATTTATAAAGTCTAGTTTAGCGATAGCTCTGGTTTCTCTACTCTCTATCTAGCTAGTAGTAGTAGTATTAATTATATTACTAATAAAGCCTTTACTAAAGTTAAGTATTTTTATCTTAATATAAAATAAAGTACTATAAAGCTATTAAAAAAAGTAAGTTAGTAAGCTTACTTTAGTAATTTCAAGTATAGTGCTCTTTTATTACTACTTTATTTTAGAATTATACTCTAACTGCTCTAAGCGCCAAATACTGCGACCGATTTATCAATATCTACCTATTTCGAGATGGAAATAGCCGTATGTGCCGGCTAATCCTCAATGCAATCCTGGTGCGCTATGCTGGGGTAGTGGTCAATGTTGGGGAGCATGACCAGAGCCGCGATGAGTACATTGGCACTGCACAAGAAAGCCGCGAGGTGGGCGGTCATCCTAGTTAGTGCCTTAGCTACCCTACTTCTACACCACGCAACGAAAACGTACCGCAAGATGCGAGACACAGTCAAGGGCAAGTCCCATGTAATTAATAAGGAGGGTAGTAATAGGAAGGGCAAGGAGTCAAGGACTGCCTAACCTAGAATCCGAGTAGGGGTCAGCGCGGATTAATAGGGTTAGTTAGTAGCGTGAATAGCACGACCCGCTATTTCTATATTTCAAATTGTGAATCTAAGCCCTACAATTCAACCTAGGTTTTAATCCGCTAAATTACTCTAGTGCTCTTTCTTACATATTTCTCACAGCTTTTTCTTTCTTTTTCTATACAACTGTCAGAAATCTTAAATTTTACAACTACAACCAGCCCGGCCACTATGACGCAGCAGCAGATCCGCTTCCTTGTTCTTTCCGATACGCACGACCATGCATTTCCAGTCGCAGCGTCCCTACCTGCCGTCGACGTAGTTATCCACTGCGGTGACCTCACTATGATCGGTGGCCTGTCCAATTACCGCCGCGCCCTTGACTCTCTTGCAGCCTGCCCAGCTGAGATTAAACTTGTTATTCCAGGCAACCACGATGTATCCCTGGATCCCGAGTGGTGGGATGAAAACCTAGACAGCGATGATGATAAGGACGAACCAGTACGTGCCCGGGCGTTATTCACATTGGACGAGTATACCCGCTGTGGCGTACGCTTTCTAGACGAGGGTACTCACGAGATTGCCCTCCATGACGGGCGTAGCTTCAAAGTCTATGCGTCGCAGTATACGCCGGCCTTTAGTGGCTATGCCTTTGGCTATAGCCCAGAGGAGGACCGGTTCAATGGGACAGGGAGGAGAATCCCAGATGATGAAGGTATCGATATTATAGTGACGCATGGGCCTCCTCGGCCCCCATTTCCAACATCAAATAACAGTGGAGCGGGGCCAGCTTACCGACTCGACCTTGGTGGGAGACATGAAAACGGCCAACAGCAACATCTTGGATGTCCACGACTGTGGGAAGCAATCACGAGGGTTAAGCCCAAGATGCACTGCTTTGGACATATACATGAAGGACACGGCGTACAGATGGCAACGTTTCATTTAAAAACAACAACTATTACGGACGTTGAAGCTGTCGAGAGGGAAGGTGTACTAAATATTGGGACTATCGCGCCGGCAGCAGCAAATAAGGGAATAACTCTGCTAGTAAACGCAGCTATTATGAGACACAGAGAGAAGGAAAATAATAAGCCCTGGGCAGTAAATATAATATTTTAATGTTAATTTAAGAGAGATAATTTGTTAATGTTAATAATGCCCTCACTTTAGGGCCCGATAACCTATCTGACATTGAAGCCAAACAACACAACACGATCTTCCCGCAGGCAAATTCTTATGCTCAGAGCTGCGTAGGCTATTTCTCCGTGAAATATCTAGTCTGCAAAGCTAGAAACACTAAGCTTAGACTGAGAGGAAATTAAACACAATAGCTATAGATATAAGAGGAGGAACCTCTTTTTGCAGCAATTTGTATATTAAATTACTGCAATGAAGAACACAGCATTTCTAGTTTAGGGCGTAGAAATGTATTACTTTTAAAATAGTTGCTCCCATCCCTGCTAGCAGTGCAATTCTACTCCCCCGCACAGCGATCTCAGTACCCAAGCCTAATTAGGAGGGATCTAACTCACTGGACAACAGTATTCTGAGAAGTTTTAGCGGGGCTGAGTAGTCCTATACGCTTCTTTTTGCCTCCTGTTAATGTAAAGCGGCTTTCTAGAAATAAGGGACTGTCGTAAAACACGCCTTCTATTTCTATTCACTTAGCAAGATAACAGCTCTTATACTAAAGTCTTATACAATGCCTACGGCTATCTTAAAAGATGTATTTCTGAGCTAAGTGCTCGCCTAGGCATCTATTGTAATTCGTCCCCTGATAGCTACGCTAAAACTAACTCTGCAGAAACTTTAGGAATTATAAATACCTAGTCTTCTTGCTATAACTAGAGCTTGTTATAGACTAGCCTTACAAGCGACTGCGTGTAAGCATTACTAGTATTAACTATAAACTTAAGGAGAGAATAGAGAGAAAGAAGAAGCTCTTTATTTCTTCTTTTCTGCTTATTATATATATATAAGTTTAATATATATTTAAAGTATATTTAATAAAGTACTAATATAGTGCTTTATATCTACTTAAGCTTATAGCTTAAGTTTATTATATACTCTTTTTTTAATAAGTTTATTTATATTACTACTATATAGTAAAAACTAATATATAGTACTAATCTCTTTAGTAACTATATATCTTTACTTTATATTTTTTATATATAGTATATACTTAATATACCTCTACTTTATAAATAGTTTAGCAACTTTATACTACTTATTTTTATTATTTTCTTCTTAATAAGTATTAATTAATAAACTTAAGTTTATTAACTAAAATAAAGATAAAAAAAAGCATTATATTTATTTCTAAATTAGTTTTATTTAACCTTAGTATTTAGTTTATTTATATAGTAAGTATATAGTTTATTATATAGTACTATATTTTTAATAAAAGTCTTATTATAAAGGCTTATTATATAGTATATACTTAATATACCTCTACTTTATAAATAGTTTAGCAACTTTATACTACTTATTTTTATTATTTTCTTCTTAATAAGTATTAATTAATAAACTTAAGTTTATTAACCTTTATTTCTAGCTCTTTATAAAATTCTAAAGTATACTTTATTAAGTATAAGCTTCTTTACTTTTTTACCTTTAGTTTATATTAACTTTATTAATACTTATTATTAATATATTTTTATTTTAAAGCTAACTACTTACTAAAAGAGTTTAGTTTCTATTATATTAATTATAAAGTTTCTTCTCTAAGTAGTATAACTTAAAGTCTATAGTAAAGTATTATAGCTTTATAATTACTAGTTAATATATAGTATAAAAGATATACTTTATATATATCTTTACTTAAGGCTTAATAAAGCTTTATTAACTGTTAAGGACTAGCCTTACAGGCTACTGCATGTAAGTATTACTAGTATTAACTATAAACTTAAGGAGAGAAAAGAGGGAAAGAAGAAGCTCTTTATT